GGACCCAGGACCTGGGAGCCTTCTCTGCAGCCTTAAAATACTGTATGGGAGTATTCTTTTTGGGTTTCTTGTTTAGTGTCCATATATGAAACATCATAGTGTAAAAAAAACTAATGAAAATCCCAGACCTCCCCCCCCACACACACACAAAAAAACTCCTAAGTTACAAAGGAGTTATGGTTGAGAGCACCCATCAGTAAGTTAATGGTTAAACGTATTACAGGGTTGTTGTAATTAAATTCTTTAATTGCCTATACACCAATGCTAGGAGCTTGAATAACAAACAAGAATGGGAATTGCTCTTTTATTAGCATAAATTTGATCTAGGTGGTATTACTGAAGCCTGGTAGGGTGATTTGCCTGAGTGGAATGTTAAAATGTTATAATCTAGTTAGGAATGATCAAGTGGGCAAAAGGAGAGAGGGAATGGCACTCCATGCCAAAAATGGCAATACTGGTTTCTGAGTCACTGATAACTTGGAAGAAAAGAACTTGAATGCTTATGGATCTCTGTCTTAACAGGTAAACCACAAGATGGGGTACTAGTGTGTGTCAGCTACAGAGCATGAAATCACATTAGGGAACCAGGATTGCTTCTTAAACACTTATGTATAACAGGGAAAAAATCTGCATGATTGTGGGGGACTTCAGTCTGAGTGACACATACTGGAGGTCTCATGCTGCCATTACTGAAACACCCTCAGAATTTCTAAATATTATAGATGACAATTTCCTAACACAAAGTTTGCATCCGACATAGGGAATTTTGTATTAGACCCAGTGCTGACAGACTGTGATACTTCTGAGTCTGAGACTGCTTAAGCCTGATGAGTCAGCCCTGAGCCAGAGAGTGTGATGAGTCATCAGAGGCAATTACCTGCAGGTTTTGTGATAGGCCCTACGCCATTCAGCCAGGGTTCAGCCAACCACAGGTGAGGACCCATGACCCCAAAGCAGGTATATAGGCTCCTAAGGGAAGCAGTCTCTCCAGTCTGCTCAATATTGCTATCTGACTGGGAGCATTCCCATTGCCTGTAGTTTCAACAGACTGCTCATGCTTCAGCTGGCTGCCAGGCTACTCGGACACACGCGAAGAATTGATCACAAAATTAAAAATCAGTGGTAACTTAGGTGCAAGTGATCATGACTTGATCACATTTGCTATATGCAAACAAAATAAAGTTTAAAGAAGTAATATAAAATAAACTTGGTGCTTTAAAAGGGCTAATTTCACAAAAGGTGAAAACAATTATGAGCCAAATCAGTGGCAGAAAAAAAATGAATGATAATTGGTAAGTGTTTAAGAAGACTTTACTAGATGGCCAAAAAGACGCACTCAAGAAAGGTCACATTGGTTAAAAAGTCAGCCTGGCATAGAGGGGGGTGTGAAAACTATATATATATATATATATATATATATATATATATATATATATATATAAACTGAACAAAAGGGAAGTTGATAGTAATGAATATAAATCAGAAGCTAGGAACTGTAGAAAGTTGATAAGGGAAGCAAAGTGACACAAAGAAACGTCTATGGCCAGCAGAGTTAAGGACAAAAGGAGGGTTTTTTAAAGTTTATTAGGAATGGAAAGAATCCTAACAATGACATTGGTCCATTATTGATAGAAATGGTAGAACTGTCAATAATAATGTAGAAAAGCCAGAAGTCTTCAATAAATATTTCTGTTCTATATTTGGGGAGAAAACAGATGATGTAGTCATATCATATGATAACACACTTTCCATTCCACTATTAGCTCTTGAGGATGTTAACTAGCAGTTATTAAAGCTAGACATTTTTAAATCAGCTAGTCCAGATAACTTGCATCCAAGAGTTTTAAAAGAACTGTTTGAGAAACTTGCTGGCCCATTAATTTTCAATATGTTTTGGAACACTGGGGAGGTTTCTGAAGACTGGCAGAAAACTAATGTTGTGCTAGTATTGAAAAAGGATAAACAGGATGACCCAGATAGTTATAGGCCTGTCAGCCTGAAATCTATCCTGGACAAGTTAACAGAATGGCTGATATGAGACTTCTTTAATAAAGAATTAAAGCAGGGTAATGTAATTAATGCCAAACATGGGTTAATGGAAAATAGATCCCGCTAAACTAATTTGATATCTTTTTATGATGAGATTATAAATTTGGTTGATAAAGGTAATTGTGTAGATGTAATATACTGAGACTTCTGCAAGTCATTTGACTGGGTAATGCACAACATTTTGATTAAAAACTAGAATGCTACAAAATTTATATGACACATTAAATGGATTAAAAACTGGCTGACAAGTTTCAAAATCAAATTGTAAATGGGAAGTTATCATTGAACAGGTGTGTTTCTAATGGGGCCCTACAGGAATCAGTTCTTGGCCCCAATGCTATTTAACATTTTCGTCAATTATCTGAAGAAAACTTAAAATAATCACTAATAAAGTTTTCAGATGACACAGAAATTGAGGGAGTGATAAATAATGAAGAGGACAGGTCACTGATACACAGCAATCTGGATCTCTTGGTAAACTGAGCACAAGACAACAACATGTGTTTGAATATGGCCAAATGTAAATGTATACCTCTGGAATAAAAATGTAGGCCACGATGGGGGACTCTATCCTGGGCAGCAGTGACTCTGAAAAAGACATTGGGCAGGGGGTCATAATGGATAATCTGCTGACCATAAGCTCCCAGTGCAATGTTGTGATTGAAAAGGCTAACGTGATCCTTGGATGCATAAATAGGGGAATCTTGAGTAGGAGTAGGGAGTTGTATTACCTCTGTCCTTGGCACCAGTGCCACCACTGCTGGAATACTGTGTCTAGTTCTGGTGTCTACAGTTCAAGAAAGATGTTGGTAAATTGGAGAGGATTCATGGAAGAGCCATAAGAATGATTAAAGGATTGGAAAATACACCTTATACCGATAGATTCAAGAAGCTCAGTCTATTTAGCATAACAAAGAGAAGGTTAAGGAGTTGACTTATTCTCCATGTAGGTACTTATGAACTGTGATCAAATATTTAACAATGGGCTCTTCAATCTAGCCCACAAGGATATAACAAGAGCTAATGGTTGGAACCTGAAGCTAGGCAAATTCAAACTGGAAATGAGGCATCAATATTTAATAATGAGGGTAATTAACTACTGGAGCAGTTTACCAAGAGTTGAAGTTGATTCTCCAACACTGGCAATTTTTAAATCAACCGTTCTAAAATATATGGTCTAGTTCAAACAGGAGTTGTTTTGGAGAAGTTCTATGGCCTGAGTTATACAGGAGGTCAGACTAGATCAGAGGTGGGCAAACTACGGCCCGCGGGGCCGTCCTGCCCGGCCCCTGAGCTCCCAGCCGGCCCCGGCCCCTCCCCTGCTGACCCCCCTCCCCCACAGCCTCAGCTCGCTGTGCCAGCAGTGTGGCTGGCTCTGGCCGGACAGCGCAGCTCAGGGGCAGATTTACAAGTCAACACAGGATGCCCTGGCACGGGCCCCCCAACAACAGGGTGACCCAGGGCCGGGCACTCGGGCAGCTCAGCCCTGGCGCACTCCTTGCGGGGGGGGAGGGGTGCACTGCCGGGACAGGGTAGCAGGTGGGAGGTGCGGGTGGCGGGAGCACGGGGAACGTGGGCAGAGGACTCGGGAGGAGCTTCGGGCGGCCGCGCAGCCGGACGGAGAGAAGCGGCGCTTTGAAGGGGAAACCGCTGCTTCTCTCTGGCTGCACAGCTGCCCCTGCTCCTCCTGAGTCCTCCGCCCATGTTCGCAGGGCCACATTCCGAAAGGGGCTTGGGGGGGAAGAGGATAGGGGATAGGGTCCCGGGGGGGCGGTTAGGGGCAGGGGATCCTGGGAGGGGGCAGTCAGGGGACAAGGAGCAGGGGGGCTTGGATGGGTCGGGTGTTCTGAGGGGGGCTGTCGGGGTGGATAGGGGGCAGGGGGCAGGCTGTTTTGGGGGCACAGCCTTCCCTACCCGGTCCTCCAATCCGTTTCGCAACCCCGATGTGGCCCTCGGGCCAAAAAGTTTGCCCACCCCTGGACTAGATTATCACAGTGGTCCTTTCTGGCTTTGGAATCCATGAATATCTCAAAACCAAGTGTTATAAACCCAGGGAATTCAGGGTTAAGGTTACAGTTAGGCCTGGACTATACTTAAAATTTAGATCAATGTAGCTGTATTGCTAAGGGTGTGAACAGTCCACACCCCTGAGTGAAGTAGCTATGCTGACCTAACCCCCAGTATAGATGCAACTAGGTAAATGAAAGAATGCTTTCATTGACCTAGCTACCATCACTTGGGGAGGTGGAGTTCCTACACCAATGGAAAAGTCCCTTCCATCGGTGTAGTCTGCATTATGCCTATATAGCTACAGTGCCATAGTTTTGCCAGTATAGTCCCCGTAGTGTAGACTTAAAAAGTAATGTACAGTTAGGGCATTCAGACAATCTTCACTCTGCCTTGCAGTGATTCCAAGAGGAGAAGCATGTATGGAAAAAGTCTTTAAGAAAATCAGTTTAATCTAAACTCACCTGAAAGATGATCGCACAGCATCCCCTGGAAACACACTGGGGTGGTGTTTAGGAAATGTCTCAGTAAAAACTTCTCTCTGCTGAATTTCCAGCACCTAGGTGTGTCTCTCAAGTATTTACCTAAGCCACAGGTCTGAGTACTAGGAGACCTAGATTCTTCTGCAAAGGAATAAAGTGCTTGGGGCCACCCAGGATCTGTTGAGGGGGAGTGATGTCTGCACTTTGCCTCAAATTGTCACTGATTCACAGTCAGGTCTTGGGTTTATCCCTTAACCTCTCTGTGCCTCACCTTCCTTTGTAAAGTGGGGATAATACTGGACTGCCTCCAAGGGGATTTAAGGCTCAAATAATTTACGTTTGGGATGAACACTGAGATGCCTGGGTGGAAGGGGATAGGGAGGGCAAAGGAGTAATAGCTATTAAAGATCCTGGTTTCCTTTTTGGAATGGTCTCTCCTTTCTTCTTTCCTCCCCCACAAAGGACACTTTGGACGCGTACCCCTGCGGCTCGGACCACACCCCCAGTCCCATGGCCAGTCGGGTGCCTCTTGAAACAGCCCCCATCCTGGAGGAGCCGGAAGCCCGTCTGACTGCTGTGGCCGTGAATGTGGAAGATGGCCACACCATTGCTTTTCTGGGGGACAGCAGAGGCCAACTGCACAAGGTAGGAGTTGGCTTGGACAGGCAGCACAAAGAAAAGGCATTACTGGTGAGGGTCAGGCGTGGAGTGGTGACAACTGAGGTGCTCCTATTGTGTGCTGGAGTCCTAAAAACAGAAGTGTCAGAACCCCAGAGATGGTGGAAGCTCACTTTGAATGGAGGTGGAGCTGAGGTACATATCTGGGGGTGTGGGGGAGGCAGTGCAATGTCCTAGGAGGGCACACAGGAGCAAAGGGAGCTAGATGTAGTTGCGGGAAGGTGGGAGGATGATAGGGGGAGCTGGGGGAGGCCCAGAGGAGCAGGGGGTGACTCCCTGCATAGCCCATCCCACCCCTGTCTTCTCCCTATGTTTGCCTAGCTGGGGGCTCTGCTGTCTGGATGGCTTTTCTGTCTAGCTCCCAACATCGCCCAACTCCAGTTCCGCTCTGGGCTCCTGGTGGATCTGGCCCCTAAGCTCACTTGCCTGGTCCAGCTGTTATGCTTATAAGAAGCACACGGGATCTTTTTCAGGGTAAATGGCAATACGCCGCATTTATTGGAGAGACAACAATTAGCATATGCATTCAAACACACACACCCACACCCACCCACCCACCCACCCACCAGTTGATGTTATAGTTACCAATCCAGAGTCCGGATCAACCTGGTGGCCAGCTAGGTTGATCATGGGTAGAGAGGAGCCGGTTTCTGTCGGGCGCGACACGATGCTCTAGGGAAGTCTTGGCAGGACGAACCCAAAGTTTCATGGCAAAGCACCTTGTTTATATAGTGATCTTCCTTCATTGGGACCAATGAGCTTTGCACCATCATGCTGTAATCAATTGCTGTTTGACGAGTGCTTGTTCTTAAATTGTTCTTCTCATCCTTTATTTTTTTCTTTCATCACTCTCTCAGGGAGTTACCCCATGCTGGGTTTGAACACAGCTATCTTGTCCCCATTGATGGGTGCCTGTCTCATCTTTTAGAGTCTGCAATCTGCCCTCCTCTGACATCTCAATAGGAGCATGTTGCAATCTCCTGGCGCCTTTACATCCGTCCCTGATTCCTCCCTAGAACATCTGATCCGGTGATAGCCTTCGCACTTATCTTCTAACACACACCTTCCTCATTCACACACAAAACAGGATTGATTTACACAAAGCATTTGAACAGGAACATCAAATTGCAATGCAGGAGAAAACAATCATTGCATTCTTTTACTTATTTCAAAATGCTAAACCTACAACACGGTGGTGACCCTAAAGGTCTGTCACTGCCTTGAAATCAGCTTCAAACACAAGATTCTGGCTGATGCATCTTTACCCATGGCACACTAGGTCATTCCTTTCTGCTTTCAGAAAGGGTGGCTGGTAGGATATGGTCAAATCATACACCAATACATTTAATGCATGCTACATTATTATTCTTTGTCCTTCTTCTAAATGATGCAAAATACAAACATAAAATCCTACTACTACACAGCTACAGCATCCCAGGCTCCCTCTGTGCTGACCCACCTCTGAGTGCCCCCTACCGGGGCCCAGCACCTGCTGGCTTGGAGGACCCTTTGCATCCAGTGAGGGGAGGGAACCCCCTGGCCCAGGACTGGAGCCCTCCACCAGCACTGGAATTGGGGCCCCACTCAGCCCCTGCACGGAGGCTGGGAAGTGGTTAGAATTAGCAGAAGTAGCAGAACGCTGTTCCCATTCCCCAAAAGAGTGCTGGAATGGTATTCCAGAGCACTCCGGCAGGACTGGAACACTGTCCTATTGTGTGCCCATTGTTTCTTTATCTCTGGGAGGAAGGATGCACTTGTGGTACACTTGGACTGAGGTGGAGATGGACACAGGAGACGGAAGTGTTGAGTGTCTCTGGGTTAGGCTAAAAGGGGTAAAAAACAAGGGTGATGTCATGCTAGGAGTCTACTACAGGCCACCCAACTAGGTGGATGAGGCTTTTCTTAAAACAACTAACAAAATCATCCAAAGCCCAAGATTTGGTGGTGATGGGGGACTTCAACTATCCAGATATATGTTGGGAAAATAACACAACGGGGCACAGACCATCCAATAAGTTCTTGGACTGCATTGCAGACACCTTTATATTTCAGAAGGTTGAAAAAGCTACTAGGGGGGAAGCTGTTCTAGAC